GGACTCTTCCAACTTTGAAGCTGGAAGAAAATTTAGAGACCATTTCCTAGTCCAACACACTTACATGTATGTTGTCTTTTTAAACCCGTGAGGAAACTGAGGTCCAGAGAGCTAAGGTGACCACCCAGGGTCACGAGTCCGTTCGTGGCAGAGCATCCGTCGAACCAGGCCTGCCTCCATTCAACACCACCTCCAAAGAACAGCCTCCAAAACAAGCCAATGCCCTCCTCCCCCGCTGGAAACCTGAAGTTACGTGCACTGAAATGTCAGATGGTTATCAAGAAAAGTTGTTCTGAAGCATCGCTAAAGGGGAGGGGGTGTTTCCATGTGCATATCTATTTCTAGATCCATTCCTCGGAATCGCAGTTTGCAACTCCCAACGTGCAAGGGATGCAGAGGACAGGGGTTCTTCCTGCGACATGAACTCTGCCCTCTGAGCTTTTCCTGGAGGGTACCACCTGAGCAAGAAGAGCAGGTGAGAATGGAGGCCCGCCTGCCTCCCTGCATGTGAAGATGCAACCCAGCGAAAGGCGAGAGCGCTGGCCCAAAGCCCTGCCAAAGTCAGGTCCAAAGACCATCTGCCGTCCCTGGAGACAGGGAGACCTTCCAGGAAGGAAAACGGCCTGTCGGCAAATCACACTGTCTCATTCATCTCTTCATCTCACGTGAGTAAGAGTTTGATATATTTGTGAGTAAGCAGATATTTTTGAAACTGCTGTGCACTAAATTCTATTCATCAAAATATTCCGCTTTAGACAGCCTTGTCAAGAAATCCTGTCCTCGCTCTCTCTCTCTCTCTCTCTCTCTCTCTCTCGCTCTCGCTCTAGCACGCGTGCGCGTACACACACACACACACACACACACACACACACACACACACNGCGGCCTCAGTGTTGCCTGAGCAAGAAGCACCATCAAAGTCAGCAGCCTGCAGGCTGAGAGAGCGGGAGAGCGTGGACTTGGAGCTGGGGACAGAATCCGTGGACTTCCTTCGCGTGCTCACTTTGCATTCCTGATTCTTGGGGTCTGAGGAGCGAGGCTCCAAGGTCTGGAAGTTATCGACCAGTTCGATGTTGTCGAAGTCCAGGTTGTAAGTCCCGCTGCTGGCTATCGGCTTGTCTTCATCGAAGACGGTGGAGAAGGAGTGTGTGGGGGGACGGAAAGGGCTGCCTTCCACGGAGCTGCTACGCGGGCCATCGGGGACGGGGACCACCTCAGCACCACATCCTGGAAACGGAGACAGATCAGTCACTTAGGGACACAGGACACTTCGGAGCATTTCTCACCTCGGGCCAGGCTATTAGCCTCTGATAGAGGCCCCTGGCCCAGCCGGCCCAGCCAGGGGCAGGCACGCTGCATGGGACAAATCCTATGCTCACCATTATTAGTTCCAGATGCTGGACAGGCTCACCCTCAGTCCCCTCATCCACAGAGTATGAGTGGTAAGGGCTGTTGAAGGAATAGCTCAGACCATTCAGTCATCAACAACATTGACCAAGCGCCCAGTCGGGACCAGGCATCGTTCTCAGTGCTGGAGATTCAACAATGAACAAAACCCTGGCTCTCCTGGAAGTTGCATTCTTCAGGGAGAAGACAGTCAAGACACAATTAAACAAGGAAAACGTACAGACTATCAGGTGCTATGGAGAAAAATAAGGGTAGAGGCATCACAATTTTTCAATAAGGTAGTTGGGCAAATCCCTCCCAGGAGGAGACATTTCAACAAACATGAGACACAAGGTAAAGGTGTGAACCAGGAGGACGTCCTGGGGGGAGCCTCCTAGACAACAGGAGGAGCAAGTGCAAAGGCCCTGGAGTAGAAGCATGCCTGGCGTGTTCCAGAAACATCAGAGGCCAGTGAGGCTAAAGCAAGGGACAGGAGCAGGCGAGGAGGACAGGAATAATGCCAGTAAGGCCACTGTGAGGAACACTAGGGAACCTTTCCATGGGGCCCCCAGGCAACTGCAACAGCACTGAGCTTGCCCCATCAGCCTCCTGTGCCTCCTACCGGCATCCCCTGTAATCTCTCCCTTCAACACTGTCGGCCACGCTCCTCTTCTCGGCCTTTGACCTTATCTATTCTCTCCTCTCCTGGCTGTTCCTCTCAGTTCCCCCGCCCCCTCAGCCACTGCAGGCCAAAGAGGTTGCTCCTGATTTTCCAACAAGCTGCGGATGCTCCAAATGCTGGCCAAGAGATGCTTCATCGCCTCCCGGCCCCTCTGCCCCATAGGGATCCGGCCACCCTGGCCTTGGCTTGGCTACGCTGGGCTCTGCTTGTACCAGGCGGCACCTTCCATGCACTTCTGGGCTCACAGCTGTCCTGGGGAGTTCAAGGAGGCCAGACAATGATGGGCCAGAAAAATAAAAAACGTGTCACTACACAAAGGAGGGCAAACATTGCAAAGTGGTCTGCAGAAGAAGGAATTACAGAGTTGGCACATACAACTTGGGATGGCATTTGCAAAGTGTGTTTCACCAGCAGGAGTTAGGCCCCCAGCACCCACCCCACCGCCCGCTGGTGGTACAGTTGCCAGATAAAATACAGGATGTTTGGTTAAATTTGAATCGCAGATAAATGAGTTTTTTTTTTTTTGCATAAATATGTCCCATGTCCCAAGTCTATGTTTTTTATCTGAGATTCAAAGTTAACTGGGCACCCTGTATATTTATTTGCCACATCTGGCAGCCCTATCCCTCATCCCAACGAACAAACAAGGTTTGGGAAAGGCTCACTTAAAACCGAGCTGACTTCTCACTGTAGGTTTTCTCAGAGCAACTCATGCTCACTGCTGCAAACCTCCAGGTGGGGAGTGCTTTGCATCGTGCTTACCACACTTTGCTCACAAGCAAATCTCTCTCGGGGCACTTGGCAGAGGACTCAGCAGATGAAGTGTTGCCTGAGAGATGACAGCACAAGGAAACTTCAAGCCTCTTGAGTTCAGGAGCTGGTCTGATTTATCTTTGTTTTTCCCCCAGACTTGCTACACTTTCTCTTGCAGGCTCAATAAATGCCTCTATAATTGAGAGCACCTTCCATAAGCACACCTATTAGCCAATCATGGTTTCAAACCTTCCCCTCAATTCTGCACCCAATGCCACCCCAGGCCATCCTTGGAGCAGACGTCCTATAAGATGGAGCACTTGACTGAAGCCTCTTAGCTCTGCTGCCCGCCAAACGACTTCTCCGTCGTCTTGAAACACTCCTGTTTCCTGCACTTCTTAAAAGCGGGAGTATCCCTACCCTTCTCCATTCTAAAATCAACTCCCTCCCTATTTCCTCCAGGCCCCAGCACCCTTAAGCACCCCATCTTCCCATCAGCAGTCGCCTGGTGTTCTTGCCCTGGTCACACAGTACAGGTGGCACAGAGGACAGGGGACCCAGAGGACCAGGTACTTTCAAGTGGGCCTTGAAGGAGAAAGAACAAGCCCTTGCCTGTCCCCAGCGGCCTAAGGAAGAGAGCCTTCCGAGGCCCATCAGATGTCAGTGGTTCTCCCCTGAATCATGTAACCGTCAGCAGATAGTCAGCTTAACCATCTGCTCACTATTTTCTCTGGAAAAAAGCTCCCGGCCCGCTTAACAAAGCTTTCCTACTTAGAACTGACATTCCCTAATTAAATCATCATGGCCCAGGAAACCTAATCTCGCTGCACAGTTTCTTCGCCTCGGCACTGTGGCCACTTGGGGATGGTTAGTTCTTTGTCCTGGGGGCTGCCCTGCTCACCGCAGGATGTTTAGCAGCATCCTTGGCGTCTACCTGCTAGATGCCAGTAGCACTCCCCGCACCACCACCGCCATCCCCGCTCTGACAACCAAAAATGTCTCCAGAAATTGCCAAATGTCCCCTTGGAGGGCCAAAACTGTCCCTGGTTGAGAACGGCTGTTTCACTGTGTGGTGACTAGAGCAGGATGCTTCAGGGGCACCATTCCAGGGCTGGGAGGGCCCTTCCATGGGCTCTTCAGAGGACCCCTGGGTAAGACACTCCTTAGACGGGGAAGGTCACTGACATGTGTAGGCCCTGAACTTCCAAAGCAAGTGTGGTCCAACTGGGTTCCCAGTACACCCACTGAATTTCTGAATGTTCACACACCGTACCTGCATGAAGACTCACTCCCCAGATAATGTGGGCTCCCCCACTATGTCTACCACTGTGGGGAATGCGTGGACAGAGGAAAGAAGGACCAGATCGCAGATGGAGCCATCCATGTAAACACACCCTCCACCTTGTGCACCCCAGCAGTGTCAACCTGGGCAATGCCCGCCCTGGCTCCAGGTTCCGACTTGGTCTGATGACGAAATCAACATCCTTGGTTCATCATATGCAGAGGGGATCCCCAGTCNCAATAGACCCGATTCCTGATGGCCTCCTGGGGACTGTGGGGCTTCTCACTTTTGGGTCCCAGTGAGCTCTACTGGATCTATAGGGCCTTTGGACTCGTGTGTGCAAAAGACGATGCCTATAAAGAAGGATGGAGACAAATAGGGGTGTTTCTTACAGGCTGCCTGGGGTGCAGGGAAGGGAGCAGGCCTCCTGGAACCTACTGGGCTTGCCTCCTGGATGAATCTCATTAACAGACAGAAATGAATACTATAAATTTTAACAACATCTTAAAGGACCTATATCTCCTAGCTTCTAGGCCACTCCAAAAAGTGATTCACATGCTAAATGGAAAAGGGTAAGTGACCAACAGGGAGGCTGACCAGGTCTCTTCCTTTCTATGGGAGCTCCCACACTCCCCTGGGGGCTGCATGTCAAGCCTTTGACTAAAAGTAAAGCATAAGACCCCTGACTTATTAAGGCAAAAAGATCAAGGACTCTAGACCCAAAGGGATACGTGGATGGGGCACACAGAGGAAGGGAAACGGGTGCCCTGCCACAAACATGGCGCCATTACAGCAAATGTTGGCGGCGGGGTGGGGTGGGGGGGGGTGCCAAGTTGATTCAGGCAGGTGACCACGGAGCACGCCAATGCACAGCCCCGCCTACTCCCTTGAACTTACGTCTTCAGTGGCGTCTTCTTCTTCTTGGCGGGCTTGTTTAGCCCGTCCCCGTCCACTCCATTGGCTTCCATGGCACTGGCTGGGATCTCAAAGGAGGCTGGGGATTTAGAAGGTGAGCTGGGGGTCTTAGAGGACGTCTTAAAGGGGTCAGTGGACTCATCACAGGTGTCTGGGTCAAAGCTGTATGATTGTTGGGGCAGTTTGGGAGACTCCTGCATTTTTGAGGTGGAAGAAAAAGGGTTAAAATTGGGGTCATCCCACTTGTCAATATCAAAGGTGTAGGTACCTTTAGCAATAGGGATGTCATTGGGCTCAGCAGGGGATCTGGTAGGTGAGGCAGGGGCGTTGTCCAGTTTTTCAGGTGTTTTTTTCATCTTTGGCCTCCTTAGGGGCATTTTGGCAACCGGCTTTTTGCCTATCTTTTTGGTAGGAGGGGGGTTTTCCTGCTGGCTGTCCCAACTACCCTTGTCCTCAGAATAGTCAAACTCCAGCCTCACTGAAAGCCCTTTGGCTGGGGAGTCCTCTTGCTCCCCGCTATCTGATGGGGTCACCTCCACTGCCTCCGGGGCCGTGGCAAGAGGCAATGCTTCCCTTCCAACGGGGGGTGAGTTCTGTACTCTGCCACCTCCAGAAGCTGGGGGGACAGCCCCCTCTGCACCCTCAGAGTCCAAAGGGCAGGTAGCCCTGGGCACAGCAGCAGGTTCTAGGGGCACCTCTTCCGACAAGACTGGTCCAGAACCTTCCAGCTGGGCTGATTCCGTTTTTGTCTCAGATGCTTGCTGCTCCTCGNATCTTCGTGTATAACATATGAATTATATGATTCTGATTGTCTCGTAGAAGAAAACACCACAGCATTCACCCAATATGAAAATGAGCATTGACAGATCTGGTTGCAAAATTCACGCTCTGGCACCGGTGAGGCGGGAAACTTCGGGCAGGTTCTGTAACATCCCGGGGCCTCAGTTTTCCCGGCTACGCAGTGGGTAGCAGCAGGTAGCACGTGGGAGTACCACCAACAACATGGGCTGCTTTGAGAGCTGACTTTGTCCCTGTCGAGTAGCTTGCAGAATGCCACGCACGGAGATGGCATGTACTCTCTCCAGTGCTTAGTGTTAAGATGCTACAACCGGGACCGTTGTCTCCTTCACCTTAACATTATCAGCGAGACAGAAAGCACACTCACACTTTCTTGAAAGCGCCCTGCAGTCAGGGGACAGCTGTGCCAATGATTCATGAGTTTACAGAGCAAAGAGAAAAGAATGTCATTTTCTTGTTCTTCCTCACCCCCACTCCCGCCCAAAACACACAAACACAGCGAAAATAGCTGTGGGCAAGGAACTGTAAAAATTAAGCAATACATTTCACTCGACTATTTACTGAATTAATTCACGGCCACTCAGAGAGAAATTGTAATCTGCAAAATAGAACAAGTGCTGACTCGGTGTGTTCTCAGCTCCGCGATATGTTTGGCGTTTGTCCCTCTTGCGTTCCCTAGAAGGAAGGCTTCTCAGAGACGAGACGTGAAGAAGGGAGAAGGAGCCAGTCACCACAGAGCTGGGGACAGAAAGTTCCAAGCAGAGTGAGCCACACGATGAAGAGTGAGTCCAGAAGTGGGAAGGTTTGCCAAGTGCAAGGCATGGGTGTCGGGCGCCAGGGAGAGCGGCGTGGGCCAGGAGCAGAAAGTCTGCAGGAGGAGCTGCGATGCCAGTGGAAGGCTGTACTGGGAAGGACTCACCCTGATGTATGCTGTTAAAAGGTCATTCTGACTGCTCCAAGGACAGCAGCAGGGGCAGGGGTGAGGCGGGGTGGCGGGGCTCATCCCATCAGTAAGGAGATATTAGGGTCCAGAAGAAAGAACATGGAACCTCAGATGAGAACAGTAGCAACTGAGAAGGGGACGAATGGCCAGGTGTGAGACACACGTGGGAGGCGAAGGAGACAGGTGTCTGCGGAAAGAGCTGAGACTCCAAGTGTGCTTTCAAAACGTTCTGGCTAAACTAAGCCTTTATTTTTGCTTGCACTAGAACTGATACCAGGAAGAAAATCATTTTTCTTGACTCCCAGAGACTTTGAATCATCTTGTACACCGGATGATTTAATAATAACACAAATATCAAAGCCGTAATCAGTGGTTTAAATGCGAGAAGGCTGACAAGTAACCTCAGATTCCAGTTACATATAACAAAGCTCCAATGAACAGATACAATTTCCCACATGAAAAAGGCTAACTCTGTCGAGATGAAGGGATGGATATGTGACAATCTCTTAACCCAACTGAGTTAAAATAGACTCGTAGAGCTGATCGTCTTGCCAAGAAACTACTCCATTTTATGATAAAAGGAATGGAATAGGGTATAAATCTGACAAGAGTCACCTGGCTGTTTGGATGTGTCCTGCCTTCAAGCCCTCTTACTTAGAAACTCCAGCCTTCTCTGTTATTTTTGGGTCAAGATGTGAAAGGCCAGCTTTGTGCTTTGTTTCTCAAATTTCTTGTATCAAAGGCTCCAAGTTTACCATTATCCCGAAGTTCCTGCGATTTAAAAGTTGTGCTTCAGGTTTCAGCTGGCATNCCACTCGGTTGGTCCTCAGAATATTTTAAATAGACCAAAATGCCATTTACTCTTTTGCAACAAGGGAGGCAATTATCAAGAGGGTAAATTCTTAGGATTGCTGCTGGCACAAGTGCTGCAGTGGGCAAATCTGGGCAAAAACATGTAATCAGGGGGTGACACGTTGGGTGAGTACGGAGAATGAAATGCTCAGGCTACCGAGCTCCCACAAAGGTCAAAGGATCAGTGACCTCCGCTGGGGTCAGCACCTTCTAAAGACCATCTGTCAGCCAGCAGAGAGACCAGGAACCAGCCAATCCCTCTCCAGTCAGCCAGGACTGAAAAACGAAACCCTTTGGTGAGTTCGCTTTCAGAAAAACCTACATCGATGTTTTTATAACGTGTTTGTCAGCGATTCACTTAATCCATGCCAAAGGTCCCCCCCATCCCCCAAGGATCCTGGCTCCTCCAACCAGTCACAAACCCCTCCAGGGACGCAAAGAGATGAACAGAAACATCAGAGTGGCTTTTGATGGGATCCAATGAGCCGAAGCTTGCCTACTATCAAATTTCGTAAGGAAAGGCTTAATTCATGCAAACACGACAGAGGCCATATGACATTTTACAAACACACATTAATAATACAGGGCTTAGCTTCTGTCTAGGGGGGGAGAATATAAGACCCACACTTGGACAACATGTCTAGATACCTGAAGTTTTGCAGCGTCTGTTTACTAACAGTATGAAAAACACAAGGAAGTTACCCAACTGAACATCAAAGAGGAACAAGAACTGGGATATGCCGGGTGTCGCCCTAGCCCCCCAGTACTGCATGCATCCGGGGCAACGCTGCCGAAACACACTCAGACAACTTGCCTCATTCCAGGGCTTCCTTGAAGGACCAGCAGACCGGAGTCCCCACTGCTGGTCACTGCCGTCCACATCCACTGGGCCCATTCCACCAGGGGCCACATCCCCCAGGAGGTAAAAGCCATCTCTGCTAAAGAACAGCTTCAGCCCCTCTAATTCTCCGGGATCTAAATCTCTTCAAGACGTCACGAAAAGTTAGCTGCACCGCCAGCCACGCATGCTGTGCGTGTCTCCGGCATCCAGCAGGTAGACGGAGGGAGAGACTTCGAGCTCTTCCCCGGGTTTCTGTATCCCTGGACCCTGGTGATGTGCGGCTTTCGAGCACAAAGGGCCCCTTGCTCTTTCCCAGCAGCACAAGCAAGCAGCAGGGAGGGATGGATGCTCTTGGGTTCAACGGCTGAATTCCAAAGGAGTGTCTCCTGCTGCAGCTGCCCAGCCCACACGCCTGCTCAGAAGGGGTCCCTGTTCACCACTGCCCAACGGGAGACGGTGCACGGAGGGGAAGAGGGCACACCAAGTCCCTTTTTGTGGTTCCTTGCCTATTTATTATGAACTATTCTGCATCAAAACACCCGGGGAAACCATGGACTGTTAGAATGGCATTCACTCCCTGCGTTGTTTTCGCATTTCCACACCCTCTCCCAGGAGTGGAGAGCAAGTTAATTAGAGGAGGCGGATGGCAGCTTTTCTAATTAGCTCTTTTTTCCTTCTTCAGTTACCCAGGGGGCTCAAAAACATTTCCAAGAGCAGGGATCTCTGCAGTCCACCCACAAAGAGCCTGTACATAAAAATAAAGCAGCATTTTACAGTCCCGATGCGCAAAAGCAGCTCCTACCGGCTGCTCGATTTTTATTTCTATGACACAAAAAACTGAAGTACAAGAAATTATTCTGTTCAGGCTCCACACACTTTCAAAATGAAAGAAAATTAATTTAATTTGCCTCAAAGATGGATCAGAAAGAGAAATGTGGCACTACAGTTTGCTAAAATGTCTCTAAATTATAGGAAAATATATTTACCAGGATAGACATATGCTATGTTCTCTGTATATGTAAATATGCAAATACATGCAAATACAATTAAATATAAGTATTTCTATAGTGTAAATGAATTGCTCTTAATGGCCAGACATGAAATACCGTATTTGCCGGCGTATAAGACGANCTCCTCTCTCTGTCCTCACATGGCCCTTTGTCTGCGTGAACTCATCCCTGGTGTGTTCTCTCTCTTCTTACCGAGACACCAGTCCTATTGGATTAAGGCTGCACTCTATGACCTCATTTAATCTTAATCACCTCCTTAAAGGACCTACCTTCAAATACAGTCACATTAAAGGTTAGGGCTTCAACATCTGAATTTGGGGGAACACAGTATAGCCATGACACCAGTGCGCTAGACAATTTAATCCCCAAGCCAGGCAAAAAAGCAAACGTTTGGAAATAAGAGAGAATTCTGAGGAACGAGAAAAAGCTAATAAGAGGCAACTAATGCCACCCAACTGATGTCACCCTACGGTCTCCAGAAGCCATATCTCAGCCTCGCCGGACTGTTTCTAACTGGAGTTCTTACTGTCAGCTGTGCTGCTCCTTGTCTCTCCCGCCCCCTGGCTCACCCCCCGCCATGAGCTCCCTCTGGGCAGGGATCCACGGGTCCAGAGCACCAAAGATGTCAACACATGACACCCCCGCACTGACAGACCACAGACTCAACTTAAACCAATAAATCAAGGGTAAATGGTCTACACAGGGAGCATAGCATTACATATTCTAGGTACATGAATCATAGTCTATTGCAATTCATAATATTTGCTTATCTGAACTGGAGATGAAACATGCAAAGAACCTAGCACCGGCACACGCCAAAACGGGAGCGATTATTTAATTATGTAACATTTAATTATCTCCCTCAGCGGCCAGTTTGGGTTCGAATACCAAGGGCACAGTACAGCAGCCGAGTGTTCTGTTCACGGGACCATGGACGGTCAGAGGGGAAGGATATCAGAGCATTCACAGTTCACGCTCTTCATTTAACGGATAGGAAAACAGGGCTCGGATGAGCCGCATCGTGGCCCAGCCCAGACCAGGGCAGACACAAGGCGAACCCAGAATCTTGCCCATTCTTCATCTCGCCCGTCCTCTCTGCCATGGAACAAACATGCTGGTAGGACCCAAAATTTGGTGACTGACTGTTTTATAAAATGTAGGTATTCGGGAGGAAAAATCAGGTTTTTAGTCATGGCCAAAGGTCACGTCTATTGTTTCATGTGATTCTTTTGGCCCCTTGAGCAATGGCCCAGGCCCGTCTGCAGAGGAAAACCAAACAATAGCTTTTCCTCTCTTGCCGTTTCTTTCCCATGGTTCTCAGAAGGAAGCCTTCTCCTCCTCTACCCACCTCTGCAAGCAAGCACAGCCGCCTCCCACTTGGGTGATGCCCCGCATAGTCTGCAGAACGGACCAGCAGGCTTTTCTAACAATTGCAGCAAACCAAATGGATCTTTGGACAGCCCAATCCAGGCGGGTTTTAAGAAGACATGGTCCCAACCGTTAAGCATCCTTGCTGTACAATCGGCATACATTTAGCCTCGCGGTAGTTTTCCAAGGTGGAGAAGCATCAAGTCCCTGTTCAAAGACTGCAGCCAGTATAATCAAAGTCCCATGGGGCTGGGACTCAGGGTAATGAGCTGCTACAGCCCCTTCCGGGCAGGGCTTCTCCGACTCCCCCATCATACCCATTCTTATGGAAACTGCCATCCAAGAAAGAGGTGAGTGCTGTGCCAGGGTTTGTTTCTAAGACAGGAGATTGTTTTTTGCTTTGTTGAAAAGCAAGTCAGGCACAAGGCACAAGGGCAGGCCAAAGAAAAGAACAGAAGTGGCAAACCATCCCAGAAGCGTCAGGACATGCAGCTGGAAACCCTTGTGGATGCACCTATGGTCGCACCAACGGCCTTCCTCTGTGCAGTCCTTGATGCTTGAGGGTGGACTGTACATCGCAACACACTGTCGTTTTTCTTCTAAATTCTTCTCTAAAGTATCCCACACATTTACAGACATGACTGATGACACCCACAAAAAAAAGCCAGTTGCTTCTTAATCACATCTTTGACTTAGGGATTATAATCTGTTTGTCATTCACGTTCTATTAAACTTAAGGGTGATTTTTTTTTTATATACAATATCACAAGCAATGAATTTTTATACGCTTGAGTATATGAAAGAAAGCGGGGAGGCAAAAGACTCCCTGAGAAATGTAAGTGGCCCCTTTTCTGGCTTCTTTTCTACCTTGAAATTACATAAATCCCAATAACTACAACCTCAGAGCCCAGCACCTAGTTTGGCTGTGCGTAATCAGATACTACTAACTGATGAGCTGTCAAAAAGGGAAGATATCAAAACTGCATTTATCAGACACCAGCAAAGACGTCTGCCCTCCCTAAAAATAGTCTTCTCCCTCTCCCCCCATCACCAGGGAGCATCAGCTTTAGCAGCAATAAAGCCCAGGAGTGCCTACTCTTTCCAAAACAGTAGCCTGCTTGATCCCAGGGCAGGTGAAAAGGATTCCACTCATTTCTTTCTTAAAAAAAAAATCAAGGTCAAGTGTGATTTTCTTTTCCAGACCACCTGGCTCCCGGTCAGCGCAGGAGTACCAATGGAGGCCCAGCCCTCCGCCTGCTCCTTCTCCTCCCACCCAAGCTCCATCCCTCACCTGGGGCAGCCTCAAGCACAGGTGTGTAGACACCCCACCTGTAGATCCCCATCCCCGTCTGCAAAGTAAGAACAGAACAGTCTGTGGTAACCGCACACCCTCACTTTCACTTGCATAAAGCACAGCCCAGAGCTGTGAGGCCCCAGCAGCTGGGGACGATCTAAAGCGCTCTGGCGACAGCCCCGAGGTGGGTGCCCTCCTCTCATGGTACCCCAGGAAGAGTCGCAGTGTCTCCCCAGGGGGCGCCTGATCCTTGGTTACCTGGTTCTTCGGGGGGAGGCGGTGCGCTGATCTCAGGCTCTGGAACGACTTCCGGGGGTGGCGGGGGTGGGGCTGGTGGAGCTTTGACTGGGGTCGTGGACTCCGGGGTCTCAAATGCTTCTTCCGAGTCAGAACTCCTGATGGAAAGATGGGGAGAAACACAAGGTGAGGCAGGGGCCAGGTCTGTGCTTCTCCGAGGGGCCGGGGGCTAATGTTGCTGAGTAGTGTGCGGTCTCCTGACCCCCCAGTGGAATCAGGCCGGCTGCCCCATTAAACCATCCGAGAACAGACTCGAGGGAAGTCATTTCCCAGCATGATTCCCAAGAGTGAATCTCAGCATCATCAGCTTTGCGCCCAAATGATTATTCTCTGAACTCAGCTCTACTCAAAACATGTTTCTGTCCTTAGTGGCAAATACAAACACAGTGGAATCTTTTGATCAACTTTGGCACATGTGATTTGGCGTCGACTCAGACAAACTGATATGGAACTGTTCCNTAAGTTTTATTGGGTTGTCGGGGAAAGTCATGACGCATCTTTGCACTGTTTTCTATGCAAAGTCATGACTTTCCCAAAAGCTTATGCAACTGGGTAAAGTGGTACTGGTGAGCGCGTGTGCTGCAGCGTGAATGGAGAAGCCAATAAATTTTGCCCAGAATCAAGATGGAAAAACTCTGACGCCTGACATTTCCGCATCGCACTTCTTTCAAACGCCAGCACCAGAGGGGGTTCGTTTGCTTGGCTCAGGTAATCATGATCCACAGGACCCCAGAGAGAACTGGCCAGCTCAGCACCAGACTCGCTGATGGAAATCCATCAACCAAATCATCCTTCCACAGCCTCTAAACTTAATAGAAATCTTATAACAAAGACACCAGCTCTCTTCCAGCTCCCTCCACTATTCCTTCCAAAACGATAGTGCTTTATCTGAAATTCTTAAGTCCCGGCTGCCCTCCTCATTTGCTAACTCGCTGTAACTAATTTGTACAATCTAGTCCAGCCAGCCACTCAGCAGCTCTCATCTGCATGGCTATCTACAAGGCCACACATTTTTCAGGGGGGGTAAAAAATGTTTTTGTCTATACGATGGGATATTAAGTAAAACGAGGTTCTATTTCCCCTTAATTACGAGGCGCTGCAGGCACTGGGCATATGTCCCCTTGTCCCCTGTGGAATAGCCCAGCCTATTCCAGACAACCCCCCTGGTGAGCAGCCTCTTAGGCACTAAGCCATTATCCACACGGGGCAGAAGAGTTGAAGTTCTTTATTAACCAGCGAGGTCCGCAGGGAAAATTTTCAAGAAAGCCAACTTCCAAACAATCCTAAAACAAGAAGCCGAGCACTTAATTCTAATAAGGATCCACAGATATTTAAAAGAGTGAGGCCAGCCAATCGCTTAAGTTGCAAATCTGGAAACTCGGAATGAAAGAAAGTCAACTTGTGTGACACAGAGCAAGATAAAAAGAAACAAAGAACAAAGGTGGGCTTTTTCTCCCCTTTTCCCCCCTTGAACACAAATTCAAATCTGATCACAAGACTCCCCTTGTAACTCCATCAAAGGCCCCACATTACTGTCCACACTCCTTAGCAGGGGCCTTTCAAGATTTGGTCCCCGCCCTTTCCCTCTGCCCCCCAACCCCACCCCACTACTCAAGCCAGACCCGATGCCCTGTCCTGCACCAGCCCCTCAGGCCCCTGCCAGCCCCGCTGTGCTTGCTTTAGCTGAGCCCTCCACCAGGTGTGTCTTCCTACCCGGCAGATACCACTCGCCTTGCTAGGCTCTTTCTAGGGTCGACAGGAGCATTACTTCCTCCACGCAGCCCTCCTGTCCTGCTATTTCCATTGCTTCACACCCCCTTCGCTCCAGCACCTACAAAACCCACGTGCGTGGTTTGGGTACATGGCATCGGTCTCCCCCCAGTAGACTGCAAGCTCCCTGCACGACAGGGTGTAGGCAAGGCATCGCTTTAGCCCCGCCACGTGCACAGGACCCAGCCCCCAATTCTTTACGTGCAGCTGTCATTTTGCCGCTTTGCCTGGTCTATCTTGTAACTTGACTGCTCCAATTTCATCTAATATTTTTTGCCAATAAAAGATTACATCTGGGAATGGGGCGGTATTTCCCAGGGTCCCTGAGATTCAGGCAATTCATACTGTCTCCAAGAAAGCCTGGCCCCAGGCATCCCCACACCTCTGCTTCCCTTCCCCACGCCATGCCAGGCACTGCAGCCCTGAGGTTTAGGAGGGTGGGAAAAAACAGCATCCAGGAAATTAGAAATATAATAAAAATATTGTGAGTACAGAGCGGCCATGTAATATGTAAGCCCGGGAGAGTGAGCAAAGAACAGAAACTGCATTATTGAAGAAACGCTGTTGGAACAGGCTGGTGTCTGAGGCTTAGCACCTTCTTTTCCACGTCAAAGGCATTAAAATGTTTTCTTGTTAAAAACAGTTGAGAAGAGTGATACTAATGCATCCTTTTGCACAATGTATCAGCATTTCAGGTTCTTCACCATTCTCTAGGAATTATGTTATATTTTTAAAAAAAACATAACAAAACAGGAACATAGTATTTCATGAACATTTTATGTATCATTTCTTCCTCAGAGTTCCCAAACACCAGCATGCATTCTTTCTTATGTGCAGGGTTTCCTCTGTGTGGAGAGGGCTGAACAGGGTGTTAACCCATTTCATGGATGTCATAACTGAGGCTCCTAAGCTGATGATCGGTCCTGAGTACACAGTGAGCTGGCAATGCCACATGCCCAGGCACGTAAGATAGGTTTGCACCGAGCCAGTGCTGTGATCCACCAGTGTTTTCTAAGGTGGTATTTGCGAACTCTGCCCCATTTTTAACAGCGGAGATGGGCTTGTTAATGTGGACCTGGGCACACTCTCCCCTCTTTATCGTGGGAGCGGCAGGGCCAGGTCATAGGTGCCCCCTCAGTCTCAATGCTACCAGCCTCTCTGTCCATGTAAAACACACAGGTCACAGGCATGGACCTGGCTCACCAGTCAGAAAGACAACGAGGAAACGGAGGAACCCCAGGCAGGGTCAGGGCACGGGGACAGACTCATGCAGCGTGGGCAGATGCAGGCAGGAGAGGGCTCTGCCAGCGGTGGCCTCCGCTCAGCCCCTGAACACTGTCCGGTCTCTAGGAGCAGTCAGGCTGGGTGGTAAGATCTTTGCCTGGGAGAGGCATGTGGTCCACAGAGCTGGCTCGGACACTCGCTCTCCTCATTTGTTCCTTAGCACCGTTGGACACGAGCCCAGCGTGACTGCACTCCTGCCCCTTTCCTTCTCTCAAGCTTTGCCCTGGTACCTAGAGCTACTCGCTACAGGTGCCAAAACACCCGAGGGTTGTCCCAGGAGCAGGCTTGCCTTCCATGACATCCCAATTAGGGCAGGTGACACAGGCTAAGCTATGGAAAGGCAGTTCATAGACGGACCAGGGCGCAGACACTGGCTGCCCTCTCAGTTCCCTCTGCTCCCCAGCTTGGCTCTAAGTCCATGCCGACAGCAGCAGAGGCTGCCCTCGAAACTCCGCCAGGAGCTGAAAGCCCATTAGAGGCAGCAGGAGGTTAGAGAAAGGCTGCCCCAGGTAGCCCAGGTAAGTCATCTGTTGTAGATCAAAGGTGATTCTAAAAGCCACCGACTATGATGCTTTAGGTTTTCAGGGTTTTTCCCCCAGTTTTTTTTTTTTGGGGGGGGAGTCCCCTCTGTATAAAGCCATACTGAAAATTTCCCCAGGAAGAAATCCTACCTGTCAGTCACAGGAGACATATTCCCTTTTTCTTTAAGTCAGTTTGCAATGTGTTTTTCACTGGCAACAGAAGGGGCGGAGCTAGGACCACAGGCAAAACCCTTCTGATGAGGAAGAGACATGCCCAGACTGCAACGCCACCCTGGGCCCCCCCTTTCTTCCCGCCCGCCACCCCCCGCCCCAACACACACACACACCAGCTGCCTCTCACACATCCTCTGGGCGCTTCTGCTTCTTCCTTCTCCCCCAAGAGCAGAGTTCCTTGGGGACTGGTGCTGAGTGATGACCGCCCCTCCCCCAGCAGCCCTGCCCCCCAGGAAAGTGTCTTTAGGGTCGTTTTGTTCTCTTCTTGGAACAGTCACAGGGTCCTCTTCTGAATGAGACTGGGCTGGGAAACTCCACACATGACCTGCATGTGTGCAGATGTTTGCCCTAAAGTAAAGCCAGCCTCTCCTGCCTCCTTCCAGGAGGGAGAATACTTCCAGACCACTCCAGGCTGTCCCTTTAATGCAGAACAATGAACAATTAGCAGTTCCTACCAGGGTCCTGAAGAATGGCTAAGAGGAGTCTCTCTCAGAAGCTTGGGGAGGGCGGGGGCACCCCCTGGATCCTGACTGCTTCTGAAGTTCCAGAGGGACCCAGGTCTGACCCCCATTAAGGCCAGTGCTTGTGCAGCAACTCCCTGGGCAGGCTGCCCCAAGCAGGCTGGCAGCTCTCCCTGTGAGTCTCCCGAGCCCGGGAAAGAGTGGCCCTCGTATCGAACAAACGTCAAGCTTCAACCCAGACAAATGGCAACCACTTCCACTCGGGACAAACAGTGTAAACACCCACCTCCGTGGAAACTGACCTCCAGAACATTCGAAGAGATGGAAGGAGTCAGAAAAGAAGAAGTCACTTTAAGGCAAAGACACAGCTAAGGCTCAAGGGAACGCCTGGACCAAGGACCCACTGTTTGTCATTTTTATCCTCAAATGAACACCTCCTGTATTTCCTCAGGGGAGAGGGAATTTGCAGCCTAAGCTATTTCACTGCCCTGGGCGGGCGGATGCCTCTGATTTTAGCTTACCAAATGATACAATCCATCTAAAAATATACTTTTTAGCAAAGTGAAAGTTAGAAAGATAAAATGACTACCTGACTCTCTGAATAATGACTAGCAGAAAGGCCTGAGTGGTATATGACAAATGATGTGCCTGTGGGATTTAAAACAACTTTCCGGTAAAAAAAAAAAAAAAGCCATCTGTGATTTCAAAGACCTGGTGTTTCCAGCTCAAAAATTCTCAGACTCGGAAACTCCACAAACTCCTCAGCCTAAGTGAAGCTGGGATGCGGATGGCAAACTGGCCCAGCAGTTGGCCTGAGATCTCAACCCC